TTTCCTCACTGTGGGTAAGAGCCATTCTCCACAAGCTGTTCCTATAGGGATCACATAACCCACCATCCCCTAGCTCCCCGGCATATGGGCCGGGTCCCCACTGCCACCTGCTGAGCTCCATAGGGCTAAGCTGTGCCTCACCCACAGTTCCCGCACCTTAAGGTCGGCAAGTCCTGGGAGAGAACTAGCTGAGGTGGACCGAGGGTGAAGGTGTCTCAGAGAAGCTCACTGACCCTGGGAAGGCTGCAGTCTGTGGTTCTTGGTTTTTACTGTCCACCAGAAACTGAAGGGGCCTTTCAAAACAATTTATGTCTAGATGTTACTTCCTAAAATTAGGATTTGAGCTGGCCTAGGGATGTGCTACCCTTGGCTTTGTCTTTAGTTTCATTTTGTTAGGGTTGGTTTGGGGTAGCCAGGTGGTTCAGCCACAGTGCGGACTGGCAGTGTCAACTAGAAAGACACTTAACCAGGGCCAGAGCTGCAGTTCGGTACAGAGCCGGTGATTAGCAGATGTGAAGCCCTCTGCTCAATCCCACAGCCACCAAAGGGGAAAAGGAAGTATAATCAAAACAGGCTGGTAGCCTTCAGAGAAATAATTTCCATCAGCTGGGCATAGAACTAGACCTCTGTAATCCTACAAGGTAAAGACAGGAGGAGCAGAGGTTCAAGGCCAGCCTGGGCTACAGAACAAGTCCCAGCCAGCCTGGGCAAATGAAACCCTACCTCAAAAACCTAAATAAGAAAACATAATTTCCATCAGTAGACAACTTAAGGAGACAATCTGAGGATACGTTCATGAAACCCGACACCAACAACCAACGTCCATTTGTACAAAGTAAATCCTGCCAACACGCTAACCACTTTCCTCATGGGGAATGACCAACCGGGAGATCCGATACCTCGTGACTCCCATGGGGCAGGTGATATGATCTCTCCTGACACTTGTAGAAAAACGTAACCTCCCATACAGCGCTGGCAAGTGGCTGGGCCACACCTTGAAGGCCATTCTCTAACCCTGCTCCTTTCTAGTGTTCAAATTAAAATCTTTGAATGGCAGCAACAGGCTGCTCAACTCTGATAGCAAGAGCCATGAACAAAAATAGAGATAAAGCAGGTTATGTGAGGTCAAACCCCACAGACTGAGCGCCCAGTGAACTGTATCTGCACATGCGCTAACGATGCCCCGACCCGTCCTCTCCGGACTTCACCATCTCGCTTGCACCATCTCCATCCTGCCCTTGGCTCAGGCCGCACCCTCGGAGACACCCTGGAACCTCTTCCTGTCGGGTCCTGAAACAAATCTGGTATCAAACCTCTGGACTCGATTATATACGAAGATGACATAAAAATAGACAAGTCCTTCACTGCAAGAGGGACTGCATGCAGCAAAGCTGGAAACTCATGCCAGGTACCTAGTGCAGAAAGTGTCCTAGCAGAGCCTGCTCTAAGCCACAGTTTACGTGTGGGTCACAGCCCCATCTGGAGTCACAGAACTGAATGTGAATTATTGTTTGTTTTTTGAGAGCCACAGGAGGAGGCACGGGAGGTTTTTTTTGAGCAGGATGATCCCAGTTTGTTTTAGGGTGATTTTTCCTTCCATCTAAATTACAAAAGAAAAAGCTAGGACTGGAGAGATGGCTCAGAAGTTAAGAGCACTGACTGCTCTTCCAAAGTTCCTGAGTTCAATTCCCAGCAACCAAATGGTGGCTCACAACCATAACAGGATATGATGTCCTCTTCTGTTGTGTCTGAAGACAGCTACAATATACTCCTATAAATAAATAAATAAATAAATAAATAAATAAGCCACAGCCAGGCTGGAGGAAACACTGAGTTTCCCTGAGGATTCCAAACAACTGCATTCAGTGGGGATTTGGTGAGTGTGTGAATGAACTGGTGGATGAATGGCTCCCCAGGCGGCATGATGTCTCAAGTCCCACCGTAAGGTCTGCTACCCGAGGACAAGGTTTAACAAGGGTGACCAGAGAGTTCATATCTTAATAACTAGACAGATAACAAGGCTAACAACCCAATGGCAATTCACCCTTACAGATGGACGGAAGGTGTCCTAGTCAGGGTTTCTACTGCTGCAATAAAACATAAAACCAAAGCAGCTTGGGGAGGCAAGGGCTTGTTCAGATCATGCTTCCACATCACTGTTCACTGAAGAAGTCAGGACGGGAACTCAACACGGCAGGAACCTGGAGGGAGGAGCTGATACAGAGCCCATGGGGGAGTGCTGCTTACTGGCTTGCTCAGTCTGCTTTCTTATAGAACCTGGGACTATCAGCCTAGGGATGGTACCACCCACAAGGGGCTGGGCTCTCCCCTGTCAATCACTAATGAAGAAAATGCCCGACAGGCTAGCCCACAGCCTGACCTTAATGGTGGCATTGTCTCAATTGGGACTCTCTTCTCTGATGACTACAACTTGTATCAGTCGAGTTGACATAAAAACAAGCCAGCACAGGAGGAAACATGCTAAAGATGAACACACATGTAAAAACCATATTCAGTCGCTAACAACCAAAAGGCCTGCACGGTCAAGTCAGCACACACATTTACCCAGTCGGCCAGCATTTGACCTGCCTGTTGCTGGAGCCCAGCCTGCAGGCAGACTCTGAGCACCTCTGCTTTCCATGGGGCACACCTAGGACATGTGTCCATGATCCACATAGCATCTCAGCTGTGACACACCCTCCACCAAGCTAGGAGGTTCCTGGGAGGTCTCCCAACCCCTTCAGACCTCGATTTGTCTCCCCTAAAGAAGGGTGATAATGTCTGCCTTCAAGATGGAGGATTAAACTTCTGGGAGATAACAAGTAAAATGGAACAAAATGCATACGTGCTAGTGATCACTAGTGTGAAAAGTGATCACTAGCGTGAAACCTCAAGGTCCCCACCCGGGCTCGCAATGTGCGGTCTGAGGCTATTAGAAGCAGTAGCCATCAAAAAGATCCCCAGGACCCACCCAGACTCACCAGGGCTAGAGTACCTGAGGACTCACAGCGGGGACTCAGTAAGAGACCCATGACCTACACTTTCAAATCCACGTTGGAGACCATTACTGAGAGGGGTAAATACGACTTTTCCTATCCAGACACACAGCTTCCACTCGGATGACTTTTGCATCCAGTGCTCTACTTGTGTTACACATGAAGATTTCTTTAAAAGGCTAATCTTTAAGTGAGTCTGAAACTTTCCTTTCCTTTCTACTCTGGCGGGCAGGAGGGATTTTTGTCTGTTCGTTTATTCATCCCAGAACCTGGTATTCTGCCTATTACCAGCAAGGCCACAGAGACGGCTCAGCAGATAAAGGCACTTGCCACCAAGCCTGATGACCTCAGTGAGGTTCATCCCGAGACTCACATGGCAGAGTTCTCCTTGGACCTCTACACAGGTGCCGTAACGGAGGTGTGGGGTGGGGGACGGGGGTGGGGGAGGTTATGCATGTGTGTATAGCATGTGTGTAGTCTGTGTTCATGTATATGCGTCTGTGTATTGTATGTGGGAGTCCTAAGTGCATATGTGTGCTCCTAAGTGCATATGTGTAGGGACATATATGTGTGTGCATATGTGTGGGTGTGGGTGTTGTAGGTGTATGCTCATGGGTATATGTGCATTTGTGTGTTCATGTATGTGTGTTTGTGTGCTCACATGTATGTGAGTATGTTTGTGCATATGTGTGTAATGTATGTATGTGGTGTGTGTGGGTAGTGCATGCATGTAATAAAAAAGTATTCAAAATATGGTACCAAAATGCCTCCGGTTAAAATTAAACACTACTGAACTAGATATGAACACTACTGAACACCTATAATCCCAGCACCCATGACATTGAGGTGGGAGAGTTCCCTACCTAAAGCTTGGGCTATAAAATTGCTGTCTCACAGAATAAAATGAATAAATAAATACTCAGCACTGCTGTCCTTTGATGGGGACGACCCTCAGCCAACCTTCCTAAGCCATCTGCATTTCTACCCTCATGTCATAAGCTTTTGCCAAGCCAAGTCCCCAGAGAGTCTGTCCTGTCACATGGGCTTTGCAGCACGGCATCTCTCAGCAGAGACACAGCCAGCTACAGGAGAAGGAAGACTTAACTACTCTCTGGGGCCAGACGCATCAGTTCCTGGAGTCCCTCGACATTGTCACCCTGGGAAAGCGCCTCTCTGGTTACCTTCCATCTGCTGTTGCAACCCTAAGACCTCCTGGGTAAGAGGATGCCTGGCCTAGGAATACAGAGTACACCCACAGGCCTTCCTGGATGTTGGTGACAACACCAGGGGGCAGCAGGGAGGAGGACAACCCTTGGAAGAGTCTGGGGCTTGGACATTCTCCTACCTGGCTGGACACAGTATTCCATTCATTCATTCACTCGTTTGTTTGGTTCTTCCAGACAGGGTTCCCCTATATAATACCCCTGGCTGTCCAAGAACTCTCTCTGTAGAATAGGGACACCTCCACATCACCAAGATCCACCTGCCTCTGCCTCCAGAGTACTAAGACTAAAGGTGTGCACAGCCACAGCCTGACTGGACACAGTATTTCGTAAGTTATACCATTTATCTCTAATGACAGGTATGCCAAACTACTCAATAAACAGTGGTAGAAAAATGTGCTGTGTTGAAAAACACTGGTGCCTATTTTATATCAGCTGCAAAAAAGAACTCTAGGGTCCTTTGTCATTAAAATAAAGCCACACAATGGCTAAAAAAAAAAAACGGGAATCTAAATGATCCTGGGAGGTAGAAGGAGGGATATTGGTGGGGCTGGAGGTCTGGGCAGTGGTAGAGTATATGTTTAACCTGTCCAGTGCCTCACTCCTACCCCCAGCACCAACAGCCTGAGAAAGGGAAAGGGGGGGACACCAACAGCTACGGCCACGGACGCACATACGTAACCGTTGAATGCACGGACTGTGTTCAGCAATGGCAAAAATTAAAGTCAGAAAATATCATGTCTTAAAGGCAACAGAATAAAGCCCACCATACACTAAAGGATCTGTGGCAGGTTAGTTTTACTTAGTGTCAGCATGTTCTTGCCAACGTGAGCACTGAAAGAACACACACGTGCAGGAGACAGCCACAATAACAGCAGGTGTCTAGGCTGATTGACAGCCCACATCCAAACTGTGTTATAATTTCACCGAAATCCTAGGAAGGCATATCACATGGGCTGCCCGTCATCTGTCCGGGCAGCTATCAGTTCAAGAGTCTAGGAAGCACTAACAAAGAGTGGGAGGAAAAGCAAACGCCCCACAAAGAAATTAAAAAAATCAGGCTTGCTCTAAAAGGCGGGTGACTGCAGGAGGGCACGCTCTGGCTTTCCCATCTGTAGCAAGGCAGCTGCAAGAGAGACAGCGAAATGTCAGCACTGGGTAAGCACAGACAGATGTCATCATCACTGGCCATAGGTAACTTCACTAAGTCACAGCCTTCCTGCAAAGCATAACACTGGAAAAGCTAAGGCCAATACAAGGCACTCCATAGTGCCATAGGCCAGCCTCAGCTACCGTAACATGTACTCCCCTGCTTCTGACTGTTCTGGTCAGTCTGCAGGGACACTGGAGATCCTGCATCTTCTGATAAGCTCCCAGTGGATGCTGATGCCGTCTTTCTGACTGTCCTGCTGTGAGAGCAGATGCCACATAGTGTGACCGCAGGTGCTTCACGTGCACCTTCAATGACGGGAACTGTAAGAATACCCTTGAGAAACTCGACCTGTGAGAACAGGAGCACATACTTCTCAATGCATGGGAGGACCAGATCCCCAGGGAGAACTGCACAGCACAGCGGCTCCTGGGAGCCGGAATGCCCAGGTGTGGATCCTGCTGGATGCTCAGTAGCTCTGTGATCCTACACAGGCTAGTCAAAATACCTCAGCTTGGGCCCCTTCACAGGGATAAACTAGAGGTGATAGCTAAGTTCTCCCCAACTGGGAAGTGGAAAAGGGGCCCACTCAAGATAGCAATGTAAAGCAATTACCTTTTTTTTTTTTTAAGTTAGGGTCTATCTATCTATAAGCCAGACTGAAGACTTACTATGTAGACCAGGCTGGCCTGGAACTCAGAGATCCACCTGCCTCTGCCTATTCAGTGCTCGTATTGAAGGCTTAAAAGGCTGTGACAACACACTTTGCTTTTACATACATTGTTTAAGACAGTGTACTTACAGACATGGAGCCTCATACCTATAATCCCAGCACTCGGGAAACTGAGGCCATAAGGAAGACTGCTGTGCATTCTTCAAGACCAGCCGGTGCTACAGGGTGTTGTCCTAGCTGGTCTCAGCTCCGTGGGCTGCTCAAGTCATTGTCCCACCTTAGTCTTCCAAGAAACTGGGACTGCAGGTATGTGCCACCCACACCCAGCCCTCCCTTCACCTACATTTTGAAAGTCCACTCACAGAAAAGTCACCAGGAATTCTGTGTATTGCCAAAAGCTCAAGAGACCAAGACAGTCCTCCTGCTTAGAGTTATTTTTTAAATTCATTTCACCACATTCCTTCTTCCTGCAAGCTCCCCTTTACGGAGTATCCAAGATCGGATCCTGCGCACACCGCATCCGCAATTAAAACAACAGTAAATGACTGGAACTCCCTAGGTTTTCCCATTTTTAAAAAAAGGTAACATTAGAACGTGAGAAAGATAAAATGGCAGAGGTCAAGAAATAAAAACTATTCTAGTTAGCCGAGCGTGTGCTAGCCAGCCCAGGCTGCTAGGTGGAAAACTACTTGGGAATGTCATTTATCTAAGCCTCTTCACCTGTTTCCTACAACAAGAGGGGCGGGGCTGGGGCCAGATCAGGGAACCCATCAGTGATTTGAGGCAGCAAGACCATGGGTCCTGTCTCTGAAGACTACGGATCTCGGTAAGACCCCCACAGGCTTCAGAGACTCATCCCCAAGAGTGATATGGTCATCAAAGGCCGAAATGAAAAGTCCATCTAACAGGGAAAAGCATACTCCACTACGGCTGAGTTTCAGTCAAGACGGAAATGTCATGTAGATCTTGCTCAAGAGTAGTGTCCTCATTCATAACTAAATAAGACATCGTAATAAAGTGACCTTGTAACCCACAAACATACTTAGGTACTAGGACACACACAGAAGGGTCAGCGAGAGAGTCGGGGTCCTAGAGGTTATTAAACCTCCTTACACACACACACACACAGAGTGGCAATCGAGGGACCTGAAAGATGTCCGATAAGGTGTTTCAGAAGTCGGTGGGGACGCTAGAGTTTGGCGTTGGTCCAGGACTCTAGCTTCAGCTGCGATTAGATAAGACCAGCTGTTCACAGCTGCTTAAAGAGAAATAAAGAGGTACAGTTTGGGCGAGCGAGTTGTGAAAGCCCTGAGCCAGGATGGGAAGCTAGCGAAGGCGGGCATACAGGGCCCACCCTCCAGGGCACCCCCGCACCTCCCATGGATTCGGGATTCCCCATGCTTTCGGGTGGGCGCTACCTGTGTCTGCCATCCGTCCCCACGTGCCCCTCCCGGCGGTGATCGGCGCGGGCGTGGGGTGCGGGCGAGGGCCGCAGGCGGGGCGGCGCACGCGCGACGAGGAGCCCCGAGTGTGTGGCCGTGCAGGGAACGCATCCTCCGGCCGTCCGAGACCCGCGGGGAGCATCAGACAGGCGGCGAAGCCCACGCGGAGCATCTCGTGGACGGCGGAACGGGCCCAGGCGGGGCACTCACCAGAAGAACAAGCGCGAGCAGAAGTTGGCGTCCTGCAGCGGGTTGGGTTTCACCTCGGTGTGCACGGGCAGCATCTCGCCCGCGGTGCGCGCGGCCGGGCGGCGGCTCCTGGAAGCACGGGTGAGGATGCTGGAGCTCCGGCCGCCGCGCCGGTCCGCTCGGCGGGAGCCTCGCAGGCAGGCAGCGGCTTCCGGGAACCGAGCGCCGGCCCGCCCTGACCCCGCCTCCCCGGGCTCCTCCGGGCGCCCGCTATGCGCTGTCGCTGCCGCCTCCTGGAGCCTGGGAGCGGCGTGTCGCGTGAGAGCGCAGGGGGGAAGGCGGCTGGGGACCGACCGCGCGCAGGCGACGGGCGGCGGCTCGGGGAACGCGGAGCCGGGCGGGGAAGCTGCACGTGCTTGGGACCCGTTGCAAACTTTGCAGAAGTTTAAGATCAGCGCCGGAGCACCACCCTGAAGGTGGCGGGGGCGGTACGGGCTGTGCCCGCCCCCACGCTCGGAAACGCCCCCTAGGCTGTGCGCTCCTGGAGAGCTGGCGAAAGCCTCCCGGCTTTGCCTGCCCTCCCCTGGCATGCTGCCCTCATCAGGACCAAATGGAGTGCTGTGGGAGATTCTCCCACCTGCGGACCAAGAGTCTGACCTGGAACAACAGTAAAGTTTATCGGATTGCCTTTGCAGACCTGAAAGCAGTGGAAACTGTCAGGCCACCGGATATTAGGACGCAAGGATTTGGGGAGATGAATGAACGCTGCCATTTCGAGCGGCTTCTTGACCTTTCCTGCATTGCTTGGCATGGCGGACCTGTGTAAGCAGTTGGCTGTCCTCTTAGATTGGGTAAGGGAAGTCAGATAATACACTGCCTGGCGTGTTTCTTTCACCGAGCCCTGAGAGGCTCGCAGAGGATTAGTGGCGAAGGGAACCGACATTACGGGGGACACCTTGGTGTGCCTTTCTGTAGACCTACTAAACTTTTAATTTACGTGTCGAGATGGTTATTACTATTTTACTGAGTAAATTCAGACTCCAAAGATCCAGCTCGTCCGAGATCTTAAGGTTACTGATGATGAAATCTGATTTGTACCCAAGTTGGCATGTGACCTTGGACTGCTTTAGGGATGGTCAATAAGCATGAGAAATGTCAGGCTGCACCGACACAGAGAGTGTTCACAAGGCCTGGGTTCTGTCCTGCCTTGCCCCAGTTAACTGGCTCTGCCGGTTCCATTCACTTCAGCTCTGGGTAAGCAAAGAAGAGCGGTTTTGAATTCATGGTGCTAGTGACAATTTCACCCGTCCTTTTGCTGTGAAAAAATACTCTGACCAGAAACAGCTTGGGGAGGAAAAAGTTTATATCAGGATTACACTTGCAGGTAACAAACAGTCCATCGAGGGGAGAACTCAGGCCAGGAGCTGAAGCCACAGCCCTGTTGGACCACTGGTGCTGATTCCTGCCTGTAGTGGGCTGGGTCCTCGTGCCATCTCCAATGAGTCATTCTCATTGGCTATAGGCCAAGCCCATCCTGGCAGTTCTTTAGTTGTTGTTCCCGATTTTCTGGTGACTCTAGGTTGTATCTGGTTGACAATAAAATGAATAAATAAATAACTCAGCTTTCTTTGGTCATTTCACATATCTGTTTATTTAAATGTATACTAATAGTTTGTACAGAGTCTTGGTGGTAAATAAGCATGTGTTTAGAAGTCCAGTCATATGTGGAGCCCATGGCTTTAATTCCATCAGTTTGGAAGTGGAGACAGGAGAAACGTCGACTCCAGGCCATCTTTGATGGAATCGAGAGTTCCTTGCCAGCCGGACAAACGTGAGAGGCCCTGTTTCAGAGAGCAAAAGTAAGTAAATACAGATAAAAGGAATTAGCCAGGCAGCAGCACTCAGAAGTCAGAGGCAGGAAGAGATGAAATTCAAGATCAATGGGATACCTAGGGAGATCTAGGTCTAACTGGATACATAGACTGTTTCAGAGAGAAAAATTGAGACAGGGTCTCATGTATCCCAGGTTAGCAGCTTAACTCCATAAACCAATAACCAAGGATGACCTTGATCCCCTGATCTCTCTCCAGCTACCTCCCAGGTTCTGGGATCACAGACATGTACCAACATGCTTAGCTATAAATAAGTTTTTGAGCCCAGAAGACATCCCAGTAGGTAAACTGCTCACTTAACAAGCACAATGGCCCAAATTCCTCCCACTCTCCAGAAGACAGGTATGGTGACACGCATTCTCAGCATGGGGCCGAAGGCAAGGATTCCTGAGACCCCTGACCCTCCAGCTTACCCTGATTCACAAGTTCCAGTGCAATTAGAGACCCTGTTTCAAACAAAATATAGATAGCTCTTGAGCAACAAGCTTGTACACACACCCACACATACAAATTATATATATTTATATAAGAAGCATATAAAATATGTAATAGATACAATGTCTCAGCTCCTCAGGAGGCTGAGGCAGCAGAAGAATATCTTGAGTTATGAACTCCAGGACCAACCTGAACAACATATCTGTCTTTTGAAAATTAGTTAATTAATTAAGAGTGGGGTTCATAAAGTAGCAAAACGTTGATGGTTTTTAACTGAATGGGGTTTCTGATGTGGCATTTTGGAGCATTGCATGCGTGTCTTCAGACATCCTATTGCAGAAAGGGAAGCATTTCCATTGGAATGCAGAGCTGACCATCCAGCGGCCTCCCTCTCTGTGGTTTCTCAGATAAGGCATGCGGCAAAATCAACAGGCCTTACCTAATTTCCGGTGCTCTTTAAAATGTCCTGTGTTTTCTAGCCCAGGTGTTTGATTGCCTGCCAGTTCTACTTCAAAGCCTGAAACTTAGTTTGTGCACTTAGAAGTCTAGTCACTTGCTTTTTGTCAGCCCCATCTCCTGTGACTGGGGAGTGTGTTGGGATTCGAAGGCTCCAAACCACCAAGGAGCTTAGTCCTTCTACAGAGTAGCATGCTGGCTTTTAGTTTTTTTAAACTAAGCTATTTTGAAACTTCTTAACATTCTTTTCTGAACATTAATTAACTAATGAGGCAGTTAGAAGAAATACTGAGAACCGTTGTCTCAGTAAAGAGAGGGGCCTTATGGGAACGGGTTTCCACTCTTCCTTAATCTCCTGCCTTCCTTGATCTCACTTTACTCTGGTCTGCAATGAGATTCTGAATCCCTGCTCTTTGTCAGGTCATTGTGAGCCTCTCAACTCCTCAAGGCATTCTGAAGACAAGGTACAAATGAAAGGAGCTGTTCTCATTTGTTTACAAAGCCTGGTATAGTTCTTGATGAGTGATTGCTTAGCATGAAGCCCTGGGTTGAACCCTCAGCACCATAAAAATTACGGACATATGTGTGTATGTATAATATGTGTTGGTGTGTAGGTGTGTGGGGGGTGTAGAGAGAGAGCCTGTGTGTTTTCATTTAGTGAATGCCTTCTTTCTACTTCACAGTTAGGCCGAACACTATCGTGCAAAGGTGGAGGAAAAGCCTCTATCTGTAGTTGTTTACTTGATTAAAATAATCCAGTGTTATGAGTAAAAACAGAAACAATAACAAGAGTCCGAGAAGGAGAAACTGGAAGAGCAGACATCACTGACAGAGTGGTATAACTGGTAGAGCCTAAGGCCGGTAGGGCCGTCCTTCAAGAAGCTGAAGAGTCAAGAGTGACTCAGCAGCTCCCCTGCTGGGAACACCGCCAAGAGAAGCGAAAGTGCACGTCAGCAGGAAAGCTCGCTCCGGAGAACACAACAGCGTTGCTCAGAAACGAAGGGAAAAGCACATGCTCACGGGGGCACATCAGATGTGGCATGTCCATATAACGAAATACTATTTGACACTTCATAAAGAACAGATCATTTATGTGTGTGTTAACAACGTGAATGAACATGCTAAAAATATCATGCGTGGGGAGCTGGAGAGAAGGCTCAGCGGTTAAATGCACTTGTTTCTTCAGAGGACCAGGGTTCCGTTTCCAGCACCCGCATGTTGGCTCACATCTGTCTTTAACTCTGGTTCTAGATGATCAGACTCTCTTTTGATCTCTGCTAGAACTGGGCATAAATGCGATTTACACACATAAAGGCAAAACATTCCTGTGTGTAAAGTTTTTAAAATACATAGAAAGTTTTTAAATGTGTGGCGGTGGATAGGGTTGTGGGTCTGTGTATACCACACACTCATACACCAAGCTTGGGCCACCAAGATGACTTAGTAGATAAAGGTACTTGCCACCAAGCCAGACAACAGGAGTTTAATCCCCAGGCCCTGTGTGGTGAAGGAGAGCACTGTCTTGTACAAGTTGTCTTCCGAGTTCCACGTGTGCACAATTCACACATGCACACCCCCACAGAAACACACTAAATAAAACAGAAGTTCTTACAGAGCTGTTCCCAATACCACACAATGAACTAACAGAAAAAAAAATAGTACACTGAGAGACCCATTGCTCTGAGGAAAAACAAACAAACAAAGGAATTCAGTTCAAAGATCTGTTTTGGCTCAGACTACTTGAGTTTCTGTCCAGGGTCACTTGGTCCAGTTGCTTTGCTCTGTGGTAACTTCATGATGATCCCAGCTTGAGGCTGAGGAGAAGTTTCAACTCAGTCTTTTTTAGAGAAGCAAGAGGGGAGGGATATCCCAATATCTACTTCAAATGCAAATGACCAAGCTCCTTCCAGGAGGGAAGTGGTAATTAATGTCTTCTAGGTGATTCTAATATGCAAACATTTTTGGTAAAAAGAATTTTGTGTGCACAACAGCATCAGGTTGTGTGTACTTATTGAAGGAACAGCAGGC